TGTCTCTATTATACTGTTCATGTAGGGAACTTTTGAAGAATAATTTGGATTGCCGATGCATTATCCGTCCAATTCAATGATTTAAGGAAAATCTGAAGATTAATTTAAGCGTACCTAATTAATTTGGGGTGTTGAGATTCATGGTTTATTGAAAAGCAACTGGAAATCGTTTTGTATGCAAGTGTGTCATGTGTGGAGAAGAACCCTCTAGCTAGCTGATCACCCATCCATTTATCCCAAATTCATCCAAAATCTATCTTAAGTCTTTAGTTACTTGTTTTTACTTAAAATTCGTCCAAAACCCAATCCCCTTTACTTTAGTGAGTCAAATTAGTTAGAATCTGTTTTAGTTTGTGTTTTTAAGTGTTTTGAGTCAAGTTTAATTCAATTTTCGTCCAAATCACTCTCTAGTGTCTAGTTTGAGTCTATTTAGTTGTTTTAAGCTGTTTTGAGTCATTCTAGTTAGTTTTGAGTCTTTTCAGTTTGTTTTGAGTTCTTTAAGTCTAGTTAAGTGTTTTCAAGCCTAGTTTTGTGTTTTAAAGTCAGTTTGGAGTAGATTAGCAATCCCTCCTAATCCCCGGTCCAGAACGATCCTTACTTACATCTTTACTACAATTGTCAATAAGAGGGTTTAATTTGTGTGTTAAGTTAATTTTCGCATCAATTTCAAATGCTTTTCTAAAGATTCACTTACATATTTACTAAGGATTAGTCTGAAAATATTTTCACTAAAAACACTTTTAATTATTTTAAAAGCACTTCCAGAACTTTTAAATGACGAAGCAAAACCCAAAATATTTGTGGGATTTACCTATAAACATAAAAGACCAAATTATACAATATCATGCATGTGGTCATGCGGATGTCCCAAGGTAACCCATGTAGTGAACTATGTGTTAAATAATACCCACGTGGTGTAGTGATTTTATACAAATTCTCACGAAATGACTTTTATCGACAATATGTGAGCCCTATATATGGAAGTGCAACTTTAAGACAAGAGTAAATTGTAACTATGGTCCCTTAATTTTCACTTAATTGGAGCAATGGTCCTTCAATTAAAAATACATTATCATTGGTCCCTCAACTCATCAAAACGTGCAGCTATGGTCCCTCAGCTTTAATTCAACTGGAGAAATCGTCCCTTAACTTTAACCCAATTGTAGCAATAGTCCTTCCAACATAACTCGTTTTGACAAAAATTTTGATGTAGTTGACGAAAATGATCATAATTACACACTTTGATGAGTTAAGGGACCCTAATTATATAAATGGTTATTCCAACATAACTTATTTTGACATAATTTTGACGAAATTGATGAAAATGACTATAGCTACACATTTTGATGAGTTGAGGGACTAATGCTAATGAATTTTTAGTTGAGAGACCATTGCTCCAATTTGATTACCGTTAATGTATCATTGCTACAATTTACTCTTTAGACAAAGCTTATGACCAATATTTCAATTTTAACTCAGACTGCAAACAGTCTCACAAGATCAGTATAAGTAACACTATTTCTTTTCTTTTTTTTTCATAAAATTAGGTCACCTTGAGAGACCACTATGCCACAGATATAAACACGTAAACATATTGCTCGTTTTATTTCTAAAATCCTTGTCACTGGATAAATTCGCTAATTTCACACAATTGTTTCGTTCATGCTTTTTTTCCTCTTTACTCTCTATATTCCCATACACAATGATGGAGATGGAGTATTTGAGATCAGCAAATTTCAAAAAGTACGAAATCAACTGGTTTCACATTGGGAGAACAACATCCGGAGCAACAACCCTAACAGTTTTTAGAAGATATGTTGAGAAAATATTTTAACATAGGTGTATCTTGTATGTACTCTAGTTTATTTAAAATATTCCAATAGTGTAACGTCGTCGACTTAATTGAGAACTTCGTTGCTGCTCAAATAAAAATAGAAATATTGTTGTCGGTTTAAATCTTCAAAAAATTATTAATCATATATATCTTTCTTGGTCATTCTAACTTTTTCTGTCACTTCAAAGACCTTGAAAATGAGTTTTCAGAAAAAGAAAAAAAAAAGACCTTGAAAATGAAGGGCTATTATAGTGCCTCTTCAAAAAAAAAAAAAAAAAAAAAAAAAAAAAAAAACCGTAACTTTGTCAATGTTCGGCTATTGCTTTATGCTCCTGTAATTGTACTTCCACGTATGACTACGAGTGTGTCTTGAGGTAACTACAATTCTAGACCAATCAAACCATCAATTTATGACATTGGAGTTACATAATCGTCGATTATCTATAATATTATGAAATTTGGGCTCACCTTGAAAGTTAAACTGTGGGATCAATCTTTTTTTTCTTCCTACTTATTGTTCCAATATTTAGATTTAAGGTTGTGCATCTTTCTTCTTTATACATTCATGAGATTCTAAACCCCTCTATTGTAAAGTAGATATTGAGAAATACGTAGCCAAGTAAGGACTGGTTTGACATTGCTGAAATTATTTCAAAAGTAGTTTTTTTTTTTTTTTTTTTTAAAGCAAGGGTCAAAATTATGTTTGGTAAATAAATAAATAAAGTGTTTTTGGTCAAAATTATAAGTCCAAAACAGCAGAAAACAGAAGCAGCTTTACCCCTACTTTGAAAAATAATATTTTTTTTTTTTCACATCACAGCAACCTCAAACTAGCCCTAACTAGTCTTTGGTTTTGTTTCTTTTCTGTTTTAGTGGGCTACTGATATTGTTAATATTACCCTACGCCAAACCCAAGTACACGCCCCGGCCAATTGAAACCTTCAAAGGTCTTACTCAAAAGATCGAAAATATTACCCAATAAGGGCACTCACTAAGCACAAACTAAGAACAATATCGAAAGTTATTGAAAGTTCTCCAAATTCTTTTATATCAATTTGGGGTGGCAAATGATGTTACATTTTCTAAAAACAAATGAGGTAGCACTAATATAGTGTTTTTTTCCCAATATAGTAAGATCTCAAGTTTGATTGTCTTAATTTTTTTTCTTCTTGTGACAGATAAGGTTTGACTGTTATGTGATCGTTTTAACATATTACTTTACACGATAACCAGTTACAACACGTAAATCATTGTAGTAACACAGAGATAAGAAAGGTCTTCTACCAAAATCATGTCATGTATGAGAAAGACGCAATCAATGTCAATGTGTGAAACCATCAGTAAACATCCAAGAGGCGAAGATGAGTTTTACAGAAAGAGACCCGAAAGCAGCGGGGGAATAGACACTTGTCATTACAAAAGCAAGTGGACAGTGGCCAAATAAAGGCGTTAAGGTTTAAACGAATTAGAAGATAAAGATGGAATTCGCAGACCAATGGTGCATGTGGGTCATGGAAAATTGAATCACGCCCTCTCTCTCTCTCTCTCTCTCTCTCTCTTTCTCTCTCTCTCTCGCCAATGTAATCACACGAGAGCCCAATTTTAATGTGACAGCTGCATATGCTTGTCTCCTCTCTTTTTTTTCTTTTTTTTTCTTTTTTTAAATATTAACGGTGACTTTGTCACGATAATCTATCATTTAGCTAGAGAGTTGAAAAGACTCATAAAGGCATTTCAGTTCCTGGTTACCATCGTGTGGTTCATCAACATAAAAAATCGAACTCAAAACATACCGTGTAGAATACGAGTCAACAATTAACCCCCAACCACTAAACCACTTAGTAGTAGTTGCTTGGCTCCTCTACTTCGAATTACACTCGTGCTGACAGCATTAGTAGATTCGATGGGATTCAATTTGATAAGAAGAAAAGAAAAAAACAAGAGAGACTTGGAGACAAAATGGTCCCATTATATATGACAGCTGGTTCTCTACGTTTTCAATTTACTAACTTTTATTACAAATTAAGACTAATTCGACCAATTTATTTTCTAAACTTGTTTCACTTTACTAAGTTTTACCTTGAACTTCTATTTCAGCTAATTATTCATCTAAATTTTAATAAATATTACCTCTCACCCTTCGATTACCTAACAACATCAAAACTTTGTCCAAGTATGATCCCAATTTTCCCTCATTCAAAAGTAAATACAATTTTTTTCTTCACTACAACCCATAACCTAATTCTCCTTGGAGCAAGTCTAAATATTGACTTTTTTATAGCAACCACTCATCTATGGCAGGTATTAAACTACGTGTTTACCTTTTTAAGTTCTTCACGTGCTGTTCACGTGACAAATATAAACGAAAAGAATGGATTTGAAAATTTGACGCACAGTAGGAAGTTAATAATTATTTATAAAAATTCTAAGGATAATTGGTCAAAACAAAAGTTTATAGTACAAATTGACAATGACTTAAAATTCAGGAATTAAATTGTAAGATTATCGGCAAAAACCTCTTCTATTTACTGCCTGAAATATTAAAATCATTATGTAAAAACACCTCTGCAAAAAAAATAATAAAATATGAGACTGTTTAGTTTTTTTTTTTTTTTTTTTTTTTTTTTTTTTTTTTTTTTTTTTTTTTTTTTGAACAAAACGAGTGGGTTAAATTGTTAAATGCTAGGGGGAGGGATTAATGGAGATCAAACACGCACCAGGGTGCATAGCTATTATTGCTTTTCGCCATCGTAGTAAAGCACCATCTGCGAGATTGTTTAGTTATCAAACTTTATAAAAACGAATAGTCAAAATTATTTAAAACATTACAAACTGTTTATCTGTTTGCTATAGTTGATTAATTAAAGAACGTACTTTAATATTTTAGAGAAATGATCCTTACATTACAATATAAATAGCTTCTATCATAAACACAAATTTTTGTAATTTGTATAAAGAAAGTTGAGATTTTATCATAAAATCAAAAATAACTCAATTACTTATAAGCACATGAAAAACCATTCATTTCTTCAATATAAGATTGGTACTCTCAACATTGTCAACTAATCTTTTACTAAGGAATTACAAATCTTTGAGAGCCAAGGTTTGTCCTTAATTCAAACCAATTTTGAGAGAGAGAGGGAAAGAGGTTTTAGAGAGAGAAGGATGGGGTGTGGGGACCATTCCACCGCCCATAAGCGCGCATAGTCTTACTCTTACCGAAACCAAACCCATATCCATCCCCTCTCTATTTCTCATCTCAATCTAACCCTAACCCAACACTCTCCTCACGATCCTTCAAAGACCAAGACCACCCCCATCCCCATACCTATTTTCTCTCCTCATCTCCTCCTCCTCCTCCTCAACACAAAATTAACCTTAATTTCCCTGTACCCTCAACAGTCAAGGCTGAAGAAGCAGCAGCATGCCAAATTCAGCTCCAATTTTGTGGGTGGCACCAGAAATCTGCTCAGCAACTCCCTCATCCTTTCCGCTCAATCGTGGTTCACTTAACAAGGTAAACAACTAAAAGCAACCCCAAAAGCGAGACAGCCCAAGTCTTCCTTTACCTTTTCTTTGCTAGCTTCTCATCCCACTTTCTGTCCTTTTGAATTTTTCTACTCAAGACAACTTTTTAGCTCTTGTTCTAGCTAGGTAGCTTGCACTCATTTCTATTCTCAATTTCTTGCTATTTTCTCAGTTCTGTGCTTTTGGAGGGAAAGAATAAGATTGTTTTGTTTTCCAAGTAGTGAAAATTTAAGCCTAACGATATGGACACCCATTCCCTTCCCCCTCCTTTCCATACGAGAGATTTCCACCTGCAGCAGCATCCTCAGTTCCTCCACCAGCAACAGAATTCCGAAGACGAGCAAACAGGAAGCAGTGGCCTTAACAAGGGACAGAAGAGAGAGCGGGATATGGACAACAATGACAGCGGTGGCAATGGAGGCGAATTAGGCAAAGAGCTCAATGTCACCATGTCCGGTGGTGACGGATCAGAAATGACGAGAAGGCCCCGAGGGAGACCTGCCGGATCCAAGAACAAGCCTAAGCCCCCCATCATCATCACCCGGGACAGCGCCAATGCGCTCCGCTCCCACGTCATGGAGATTGCCGACGGGTGTGACATAGTGGAGAGTGTCGCCACCTTTGCTCGCAGGCGCCAGAGAGGCGTCTGCATTATGAGCGGGACCGGCACAGTCACGAATGTGACCCTCAGGCAGCCCGCCTCCCCAGGGTCCGTAGTGACGTTGCACGGTCGATTCGAGATCTTATCACTTGCGGGATCATTTCTTCCCCCACCAGCCCCACCTGCCGCGACTGGTTTGACCATATATCTGGCAGGAGGGCAAGGGCAAGTTGTAGGGGGAAGCGTTGTGGGGACGCTAATTGCATCTGGCCCCGTTGTCATCATGGCAGCTTCGTTTAGCAACGCGGCATATGAGCGGCTTCCACTAGAGGAAGACGAGGGTCAACTGCCAATGCAAGGTGGAGGTGGAAGTGTTGGTTCTCCAACCGGGGTTGGTCATCAGAACCAGCAGCAGCAACAACCGCAGCACCAACAACTTTTGGCTGAAGCTGCGAACTCAAATGCGCCTCTTTTTCATGGGTTGCATCCCAATCTTCTGAATTCCATGGAATTGCCAGCTGAGGCAGCGTACTGGGCTACCAGCCGCCCGCCATTCTAACCACCGGACCAGCCCTATTAGATCATCAGGAGAGTTCATTTGCTTTGTCATCATCACCTACGTATGTTACCAAGATGTGTCATCACCGACTATGTAGCTAGGTAGTAGCGAGCTGTATGGATAGAAGAAGAATTTGGGTTTGTCGTCGATCAGCATTTCAGATTTTTAGTATGTTTTGCTTCTTTTTTCGAGTTGGTTTTTTTTTACCAAAAAAAAAATATTCGATGATTAGATTACGTACCATATGTTTTACATGTTTGATTGAAAGACTATATTTCATGGATTATTCTTGGTGAGTTTTCGTTTAGTGAAATGTACTATTGCCAGAGCTTTGTTTAATATGAAGAGGAACAACATCCAAGAAGAACAATCTATTTTCAAGCTAGCTTGTTATTTTAGTTAATCTCTACTATGAATAGGAAAAGGCTGTTCAAACCAAACCCTTATGCGTTTTTTAGTACTTATTTTTGTATCAAGAATTAAGTTTAAACATGTTCATCAATCTCTTCCTTGTTAGAAAACTTTTGTATTCTCTTATAGTTAACCTATATTTTATGTGGTTTTGTGATATCTTATCATAATTACAATACTTATATACTGATATATAGAGTACTCATTATTTTTCATAGAAACAAGAGAATATGAACTTAAAATACTTTCTAACAAAGTATAAAGAAGTATCACTAAACCTGTATTTACTTGGTAATCGAAGCCGCATGATTAATATTTAGGGTTTGAAACTTTGATATTTGAAAGGAATGGCCAAATACATAGGAGAAGGCCAGGAGAAACGAGGAGGTATGGGCTCCTGAGAGTTTCCATGTGTTTCTTCTTTCCTTTGTTTTAGAGAGAGATTTTATCAGAAATATTTAGGGATATGGAGACATGAAAATATTTTGGTACTGGTTTACACGTGCACTGCAAGCTCCTTTTCGAGGCAAACATCTACAACACTACTCTTCCATTAAACGCGCACAACTAGCTCTCTCTCTCTCTCTCTCTCTCTCTCTCTCTCTCTGTGTTTCAGAGAATAAGGATTGGGCAAGCAGCTGCAGCTAATGGCAACTGTACTTCTCGAACTTGCTCTCTTACAACTTTGCTCTTGCTTTTCCCCAAGCTTTAGAAGCTTACTAGACTTGTCCATTCTTTGTTGGAGTCAGCTGCTTCTTCAAGTCACATTTAACTTTAAATTTTCTTTGTCATCTGTGATTACCTTTGCAACATGTGTTGAGCCAACAACAGATTCTAAGAAACACTAATGTAGTTTAACATGTTATTTTATCTAACAGTAATCAAAACCCTAATTACTATAACTTTACCTACTAAAAACTCATGAGTAATTACTGAGGAGTGATTTTAACACACCCCTTTACTCGTCATGCACAATCTTATTTATTTTAGGAATTAGATTGATAAATTAAAGGTGAATAACGAATGTACATAGACAACAATGTGTAGAAAGAGAAAAAAGATGAACATAAGTCATTTCTCTAATCATTAACCGTGTAACAGTGCTATTTAGTAAGAGAAATTACTAGTTTTGTACATTGCTAGAGTCCGCTTAGTCAATGTTATTCTATTACTGTGATTACTTTTCATCAAGTGTTGAGCCAACATGATCTGTTGTTAAACTCTACCCTTATTACTAATTAACTTATATTTTTTTAAACTATTAATTAAATTGGGTAAAAAGAGACATGCATATTACTTAAGGTGAATTTGAACTACATTATTATGGCTCGCTCATAAGAGACTTAGCCTACTCCTCCACCCCCTTAGTGTAGATAATATCGTTTGTTAAAAAAAAAAAAACAATACTTGAAACTATAAGATAGTCTTTCTGTCTAAAAACACCACAAACCCTAATCTAAACTCAAACCAACAATCCTCTCTTACACGTATTGTTGATCATAGCTTCTTTCTCTTAACAAAGGATACCATCATCATCATCTTTTTCTCCATATACCTAAGTGCAAGCTCTTTAATTTTAACAGATCATGAAAAGGTAAAATTGTCATTCGGAAGTCGTCAAAAGACATGATTTTTAATTCCATTTTATTTATAACGTTCTGCTATTCTAGAGTCCCTTCTGACCAGGTTATTCCCAAAATTATTTGGTGCGTAATTGGTCGACAATATGTGTAAACCGATCCATCATTTGCTTTTCTCCTCAATAATTCCCAACCTACAACATCAAAATAAATATTGCTGCCATATTTCGGTTTAGCAGTTCTAGAGCATCATTTCAACAAATTCATGCAATTATTTATTACTTAAGTTTTTGAGCGGTAAAAACAAATAGAAATTTTTTATATCATCCAAGTGTTAATCAGAACTAGTTTTTGAGCCGGTAGCTATGCCTGTCGCTCGGAAAATTTCACAATACTGTTGAGATCCTAGCTGCTCGAGAGGGCCTTCGACTGGCATCTCAATGTAATTGGACGCAAGTTATTCTGGTGGTTCAAGCTATTGGCAACCTCAAATGTGATTCCTCTTCCAATGGATTATTGATTGAGGATACCATACCAAGTGTAGTTTGGGGTTTTGATTCTGCTAGAGTTCACCATGTTCGTTGATCCGCTAATTATGAGGCACATAGAATGGCCAAGTTGGCCTTAATTTCCAATTTTTCTAGTTGTTCATTTGACACACCCCGACCCGGAATGTCCACTAGGACTCCGAATCGAGCTATGCTGGCCGACACCTAAAAGGTGACGAAGCCATAAAATGTGATGATGTGGAGGATTGTAAATAAATTTAAACCTAAGAGTGCCTAAATACCAAAGTGCACCGGTGAGCGGGAATGAACCCACTTCACATATGACGTTAGAGCATAAGCAAGTACAGAAAAGTGAATTAAGAATCTTACCGTCGAAATAATCTCCAATACTAAGAATCGTCATGAATATTCGACAATAAGAAATCTCAGCTAATAAAACCTGGAGGGTGAAAACAAGACAAGGGTGAGTGGCCCTGTAAGTAAAATTTTAATAGAAACCATGCAAAACATTATAACCCCTCACTACAACACTTGTATAGTTTTCAGAAAATTCATAATATACCACAACACATCATTTCATCAATAATATCAACTAACCATGCGATTAATAACTCATACTAGTATGCAAGTCAAAGTCACCTAGGGTGACCTGTACAACTTACCCATCTCATCACATATGCCAGTTCATAACATATTCATTACATATGCTAGCTCATTACGTAATCATTACATATACTAGCTCATCACATATCCATCACATATGCTAACTCGTCTCTTATTCATTACATATGCTAGCTCATCACATATTCATCACATATGTTAACTCGTCTCTTATTCATTACATATGCTAGCTCATCACATACTCATCACATATGCTAGCTCATCTCTTATTCGTTACATATGCTAGCTCATCACATATGCTAGCTTGTCTCTTATTCATTACATATGCTAGCTCATCACATATTCATCACATATCTCATCAATCGTGGCTAGCATATAAGTCAGAGTCACCTCTAGTGACTTGTACGACTGTACTCATATTTTATTAATCATTGCTAGCACATAAACCGGAGTCACCTCTAGTGACCTATACGGCACTACGCCTGCACACAAGTCGGAACCATAGTAGTGGTCTGTACGACAGGATTGGGTGTAAATGAATACGCTCTAGTGCTACGATCACGTGAAGAGTCACCTACGAGTCGGAACCACCTGTAGTGGTCTGTACGACAGACCTGTGCACCTACCTTGAATTCAAGGTGAGCGTATGGTACGGGAGGTGAACATTACGTGAAGGACTGTGCCCTGGCCACGAGCGAGAGCACTAACACCGGGGTGCAGGTTTATGAGCTTTGAATGCATCTAATACAACATGTACGACTCATAAGCAACCTGTACGACAATGCCGGAGTTGCCTACTATTGCAACCTGTACGACAGTGTCGGAGTTGTTTTAAACATAAATGTAGTCATATTATAACCCCATCAATTCAACTAATACTGTATACTTACTTGAACTTACCTAAACTTACCTAAACTTACCTGTGTGTCCTGCGTTCACCTTTGCACTTCAGAGCGTTCACAATAATTATATGCAAAGAATATACGTATGGATGAAATCTAAAATAAAAACATTTCATAGTATTCCCAATTATATAATACGGTGTTCTAACTATTAATCACCAAAACATAAAGTTAAAACGCACATTTTTCACCAATATCCCTCACATTGCTCAATTCCTTAATCAAGGCTATTGTCTCGATTATATAATCTCATTTCTTATATAGCTGCATCCAACGTCTCGTTAGACTACCTACGTACCCTAAACAAGGATCAAGCCATTCATAGTTTGCAATAATCATTTATAGTAATACGCATATGGATATATCACGATGAAATCTAAACTTAACCATTACATAGTATTTCATAACATATAAATATATATATGTCATGGCATAAATTTCTTAGTTTTATTTAAAAGCATTTATAGAATTATCAATCATAAAAAATATGATAAGCAAGGAAGGATCCACACACTTGGAGTCCGCGCTACAACTTCCTAGCACAAACATCAAGGAGTCACAAATGATCGGCAGTTGTGACCAATTATTAAACCATATCTCATAATTTTCGTTGATACAATACATAACTTACATCGCACATGAGTCTACGTAATTTGGTCCAAAAGATCTACAAAATAGATCTCTGATCCGTAACTTCCAAGGATCCACATTATGCTTCTAGAATAACATACTAAAGTTTCGGAACAATCCAACGGTCGGATCTCCGCCAATTGCCAAAACCAAGTGGCGGTTAACATTTTATTTTACGAACTTAAAAATCCAATTCGAGAAGATCCGTATGTCGGATTCCCAATCCTTAAGTTCCTATATTTCTCAATTATTATGAATAATAACCTATTAAAGTTTGATGACAATCCAACGGTCGGATCGTCAATTTATATAATGGCCTATTAACGTATCTTAGAGAATTTTGGTTCTAACGATCAATCTACGTCATTCAATTCTCAAAACTGAATTCAAGGCATTAAATATAGCCTAAAAATAGCATTGGCGGCCCTCTGGCCATGCGCCGCAGCACGAGCTGCCGTGGGTAGCGGTTGGCCGCCCCGACTCGCCGAAAAAATCAACTATCTCTAAAAATTACCAAAATTTGCAGATTTGAAGAAGATCTCAATGATTAGAACAACTTTCATACCTGTGACCAAGGCCAATTTGGCCTGGAAAGGCTTCAATTTCATCAAAACCCGTCGGAACCCTAGAATTGGGTGTGATTCGATTCGACCTCCAAACGTGTTCCGACACCTCCACCACTGATTGGGATTTGTTTCTGGGTTCTAAGGGAGTCTAGTGGGGATAGA